ATATTTACTCTTTTGATTAGTTTAAATTTCAAACTACAAACTACTAACCAAGAACTTCTATATACTAAACACATCCTTAGAACTGAAGAATAACTATTGTTTTTTTTTTTTCTTTTTTTTGGGCATTTATGTTAGTTGAATTATAAAAATTGCAGTTCAAATGAAAAGAAATTATGAGTAATGGTAAATTAATATTGCCTATTTCTATCATTGATAGTGAGTATTTTTAGATATAGATAAAATATAATCTATATATGTGACCAGGGTAAATTGAGGGAAGGGAGAATAAGGTCTGTGAAGTTAGAAGGCTCAACCCACAAAAGGTAATTCCTACTTAAATTAAGAGTCTTGGCCACTAGGTTAGGATCTGGGAATCAAATGTAATCTATATTTATTACTTAATTTAAAAATTTTTAGATATAGAACCACGGATGAGTATTAGATATTTAAACATTATCCCATAAGTTACTCTAAAGAAAAAGATTCGGAGTCAACAATTACCTCTTTCAGCTTTTTGAAATCTTGATGACTTAACTTTTCCAAGAATTGGAAGTCTTTTTGGTCTTAAGTCAACTTAATTAATTAGTGCCAAACGTTCTGGATTGTGAATCACGCACGCACTAGGGTTGGTTAAATTTAATTCTCCCTTTCACAAGTCTTTTGCCCCACCATAATATTATAGCTTTTACGGTTCTTGTGCTACTGTTGTGCAACGTGAAGACTAGAAAATCACATCTTTGCCCCAAAATACAAGTTTTAAAAAGTCTTGTGCTGCTATCATGCAACGTGGAGATGGGGATCTTGGGAAATAACTGTCAAATCTTGGAGCAACCTTAATTTATTGGCCATCGAAAAATCTATTCATTGAAATAAAACTCAAAGGCAGAACCCTCAAATCACCCCTTGACAAATATGGGTAGGGACGGATTCACCATTCAAAAAAAAGCAGGGACAAATGACACCTCAAAAGTATCGATTTATCCAAATCGATCATTATCTAACAGATGATGTCATCACCGTCACTATCTCCGTTACCCAGCGCCAACATGTTATTTTTTTACACGCTGAATGCTGATGTGTACCGATCCGACTCTTTTTCACACACCATGGCACCCTTTATTCCCTTTTACTTGTCATGGACCCTCTGATTTTTACCTATGTCAGATTTCTTCTTCCTCTTTCATTTTCTCTCTCCTTTACCTTTCCTTTTCACTTCCTTCCCAGATCTAGGTATTTCTCAAACGGAAGCTGCCGTTCTACTACTTCAATTTGGTCCTTTAGAATTGGGGTGCAGATTTTTGTAGCCCTGGAGGAAATTGCCACATTGGGACTACTACAAAAAAAAAAAAAAAAAAACAGTTGACCGCGAAGGCTGAAGAGATTCCCGTCTTCCTAATTTAAAACAGGAGGATGGTAGCAGTTTCAGAGCCTAAGGAACTTAAAACCACGATTTTTAGTGCTTACGGTACATACTGGTGGCTTGTTCAAAAGGCCCATTCCATGCATATGTTCTGAGGAGCAAATCCCAGCAAGCAATATGTGGTTTAGGAATTGTGTCGAACAGGTGGCGAGCAACTTCAATCTCGCCAGACGCGATATATGCAGCGACCAGCTTTTCAAGCGCGACATAGTTCTTAATTTTGGTATTGTTCTTGTTCCTCTCCTAGAGATGTAGCTGAGCTTTCTTGGCTTTGAATAATGCCCTCGATCGCATGCAAGAGTCCTTTTTGGAATTTAGAATGACAATGGCTTTACTGGTCCAGACCACCGCATTGGCTGAAAACAGAAGCCTTTGGAAAACTTGGGAAAAGTGACAAAAATGGAAGCTTTTTGATATTGAGTTTTTTAAGCATGAAAGGAGAAAAGGTACAGTTTATTTTCAATCCTGCTCTTGAATTAGCATAATTTTACGGTTCTTGGTTGTCTGAGTAACCAGATCAACAGGAGGGTTTTACATTCAGAGTTGAATTTTCTTTTCATTTTTTGCATTTCCTTTGTTCTCAATTCTGATTTTTTTTTTTCTATTAACATGTTTATATTTTAGTTGTTTGATTTTGGTTAATATTTGAAGTAGATATGTGAAACTTTATGTGTGTCTTGAATCTCTTGGAATGTGGTATCTTAATCAAACTCTGATATGAATTGCTTGAAAAATTAGGTTTCATTTTTGTGCATTGGGGGGACGCTTGATACCTCTGCAAACCCAGACTCTGGGTTTTCTCAAATGATGGAGAAGCAAGTGATGATTGTCGCCGTCGATGACAACCAGCACAACGCCTACGCGTTGGAGTGGACACTCGATCACTTCTCCGTTCCTCAAGGTGATAGTGCCTTGTTTAAGCTCGTCATTGTTCAAGCCAAACTTTTGCTACTACTACCATCGGCCTTCTTCTTCTCTCAAACCCAGATTTGGGTTTTTCTCAAACGGAAGCCCGATTCTCCGACTTCAATTTGGTCCCGCAGAATTGGGGCGCATATATCTGCAAAACAGAGCGAAGACGGAGGTTTTCCTTCTTTCTTTTTTAGGGCTAAATGGGGTCCATGACAAGTAAAAGGGAATAAAGGGTGCCACGGTGTGTGAAAAAGAGTGGAATCGGTACACATCAGCATCCAGCATGTAAAAAAATGACATGTTGGCGCTGGGTAACGGAGATAGTGATGGTGATGACATCATCTGTTAGATAATGATCGATTAGGATAAATCGATACTTTTGAGGTGTCATTTGTCCCTGCTTTTTTTTTAAGGGTGAATCCATCCCTACCCATATTTGTCAAGGGGTGATTTGAGGGTTCTGCCAAACTCAAAAGGGGTGAGCTACACAATATGTCTGAAGTAATTTTTTTGGTTTGTGAAAAATGGTTTTTCGAAGACCAATATATGACATACTCTTTTGTGGCAAAAACCCATAGATTATCCTTCAACTTTTTGAGTGTGTGAAACTTTATCCCTCACCTTATAATATGTGATTTATACCCTCTTGATATTCAAATTTATGATTTTATACCCTCATGATATTTGAGTTTATGATATCATACCCTCCGAATGTTGTAACGTAAGGGGTAAAGTTTTACACACTCAAATATCAAAAAGGTATAAAATCATATCAAGATGATATAAAATCACATAATATAAAATAAGGGGTAAAGTTCCACACACTCGAAAAGTTGAAGGACAAACTATGGGGTTTTGCCCCCCTTTTGTTTTAAAATATGAAGTTTTAAAATATTTTTTATGTAATTTTAAATAATGTTTTTTTATAATATATAAATAATAATTAACTTTTTTTAATAGCTCTTTTTAAAATAATAGGTGCATATATCTTCTTAAATATATACAGGAGAAAGAACATTTTTTCTTATTAGGAAGGTAATTTTTTTAAATCTATTTTTTATATATTTTCCTTTTAATTACTTAAAATGTAAGTAAGAATATCATTTTTATTTTTAAATACCAATTAATTACAAAAAAAAATATACAAGAGGAAAAAAAAAAGATGGATAAGATATGAGAAATTAAAGCATATATCGTGAATATTACATTAATTAAACTACATGGTTTAAGTATAATAAAACCAATGCAATAGAAGACATGAAACAAAGAAATTAACAACAAAAATAAACAACAGTATTCTCATAAACAACGTGATTGTAGGAAAAGCATGAACCTTGCCTGTTTACACTATTGTCACCTGCGTGTTGACAGTTATATTTTAGTCTCGACAATCAAAGACACTTTTCAGTTTTTGAGTTTACATTTTCCTCATATGTTCTGCTTCCTTTTTAATAAGAAATTTTAAATTAAATAAATACTCCTTCAAAATCGTAACTTTGAAGCTTTTGAAGATCAAGATAGAGACAGCAAAGAAGAAATGAACTTTAGAAGAAAATAAATACTTGAGATTTTTTTCATCAAATTAGTTTTACTTGTTCTTTTTTTCTTGAATTTTACCATATCAGATATTCTTATATTCATTTTATATTCATCTTAGAATATTTGATCTTCTTTTCTTTTAATTATAAACTAACTTAACCATCTAACACTACAATATAATCTTATCAATATAATGTAGAATGTTGTGGGTTTTATACTTTCAAAGCTAATTACAATGATGTGGAGTATACATTATTGTTTTCTATGATTTTAAATGATTGAACATCATTATAACTGATTTGAAGATCATAATTGGGAGTAAGAGAAGATTTTAAGCAGTAGTCTAAACTTACATAACTCATGTAGTATTGAATTTTATTTTCTACATAAACTAGAGACTTTGACATAACATATTACATTTTTTTAACTATTTAAATCCACAAAGATAGATGGTTAATAGGTGTAGATGAATTTAGTATAACTTGATCCTACGGTAACATGAGAAGTGAAGACTTCTAAGGTAAATTAATCTAAATTATATATTTATTGATTATAATAAAATCGAACATCTTAGAATTCAAACTCTTAATATCACTAAAGTCCATGTGGTTTTTTCTTTAATTGGTTTAGCTCGTTAGGTCACTCAAATCATTTCATTTTAATTGTTAAAATAAAATTAGAGTTAATTAATTTATGTACTTAATTAGACAAGAATTTCTGTGATGCAATACTTTATTTGATCAGAATGATCCATTTTTCAAGATCCATTCAAAAAAGTATGCAAGTTTCAAACTAAAGATATTATCATTAATAGTTTTCTTCTCAAAATTTGAGCACTTGAGAATTTACGAGGTACGAAATAGAAGCAAAATTTGGTAATACAAATGAAGAAATTTAGTATCCAATATAGTAACCTAAAAGCATCTACAATGGGAGTTACTACCACCAACTGCACATCATCCTCCCTCATTATTTTACTCAAGAAAAATGATTTAGAAACATCTTTTTTACAACATTTTTATACAACCTTACAGGTCATTACATGATTAGCTCTTTTAATTCATTTATGTAAAAATTGTATAAAAGATTATAAAAAAAAGATTGGCTCTACAAATTGCACTATCATACACTCAGATTCCTAAACTTAAAATAATATATGGAGTAAAGAGAAAAATAAAATGGAGTTACATTTAGGTTACGGTACCACAAGCGTTTACCAGGGAAACCATCTCCCACTCCGATGGGCTAAAAGGGTAACGCTTGTGTTGCCCCAATTAGAGACGGCCTAACTCGTTACATGGTAAATTCAGGGAAAAGATTTTAAAAAAAGTTCGAAGATATTTAAGATCTTCTAGTCACATTTCCATTAAAATTAAAATAAGTTGAGAATGTAATTGGAAATTTTTTCTTCTGACCTGATGACTATACTCCCCAATTGATGATGTCCCTGTCAAGTGCCGTTGCTCATCAGCAGTGGCAGTAATAACGACCATCCTTAAATTGGCACTACTGCTCAAGAGAGACTGCACCTCTGCATCTAAGGCTGTGGCTGAAGATCATATCATCCACACCATTCAACTTTGCCCAAAATTTATCCGATTCCCTGACATAAAATAAAAGCAAACATGTATGACACTACAATTATTTCCATACTCAAATTGTTTCTAAAGAGGAAATAGTAACGGCTCATATAAGATTGGATGACATACCTCATCAAGGCTCTGGATGGATTTTGAAGGGACTTTCCTAACCTCCAACCCAAGGGCCTCAATCTTGGAACGCAATTCAACTTCTTCCTGATTAGTCAGTGCTTCTACCTAGACATTAATTTTAAAGCAGAAAATACACATGCCGAGAATCCAAATATGACAGAAATAGATAATTTGCTAAAACTTTGTTTCTTTTTGGGCATAAGCCGCATGGAAGCCCTCATAATTATGCAAAAAGATGGACGGGAGCTGCGCTTTACTACCATGAAAGGATATTAAATCATGTGTTAAAAGGAAAAAAAAAAAAGAAAAAAAATCATAAAAGAACCTGTAAGTTTGAAGATTGCTTCTCAATGGCCTAAAGATAAAAACATACATAACCATGTACTCTTAAAAGAAGAAAAAAAATTCATTACACAACCTCCTTTTTATTGGCCCTAAACACTCAATAACAGAACCTGACTTGCCATTTTATAATTAAACAGTCAAAAAAAATAAAAAATAAAAAATAAAATCCTAAGGACCACCACTCAAAATTGGAGTGATGGAAATGAAATTGGCTACCAATGAGAATTGATTCCGATCTTTTACAATTGGCTACAATGATCTTGTATTAAAAACAGCGGATTCAACTACACAGTACACAAATTTCTTTCAATTGACAAAAAGGAAGAATCTTTCATCATACCCACGATTGATTTGTATGGTCATCAAGATCTTTGATCATTTACAGAAAAGAACATCATCAACACCCTAAAACCCTTAACTGATCATGAACTCACAAAACTAAATCAAAAGAAGATTAATCAGCATGAATTACTAGCAAAAGAAGTGAACCTGGGCCGAAACAATAAAGAAAATCCAAAACGGTGAAGCTACTGTTCTTATGCTCCACAGTCTCCACATTAAACTCTGTAAAAGAAGGCAAAACAGAAAGATCATTAGTGATCAAACAACATATAAGCAAATAAATGTATTATTTGTAATGACAGATAGAGAACATACCAATTGTGGGAATAGTAGTCACAATCTCTTCAAGCTTGAGCTTATACAGAATGGTCGTCTCACGAACAGCATCAGGACCCTAAAAAGCCTTAAGGATAACCATCCAGTCTAGAGAGAAGGACATAAGAAGGAACCAACTGGTGCTGGGCTGGAGGCTCCACCTGAGTTAAGTGGTAGGAGATCAATGGCGCGCGAGTTAAAGGCATTGGGATGTTGCCTTGATCAGCGGCGTGGATCAAAGCCCAATTGTCTCTCACCGGTTAATATCCCCAAACATCCAATATTTACAGTAATAAACCAGGGCACGGGTCCCACAACTTGATCCGAACCGCTGGATCGTTCCACCAAGACCCACAATTAACGGGTTAAGGCCATCTATCGTCCCTCTACTATCCAAAATAGTGCATTCTAAACCTTCTACTATGAATTGGCTTCATGTCATCCCTCTACTATCAATTAACTCTACCTGTCATCCCTCTACAATGCAAAAGCATGCACTTGTCGTCCCTCCATCCACTGTAAGTTGCGGTACTCTTTATTGACTGTTAAGTTTGATGATATTAACCGTTAAGTGTGAGATAATACTGATTAGGCCTTTTTTAATATTTTTATTCACCTTACCTTATAGGACCCACCTTACCACATCATCTCTAACAGAACTTTTTTACCTTACCATTGCCTCCCTAACATGTATTCGCGGTAATTATGAAATTTACAATTTTTAATTTTCAAATATGAAAATCCCATCATTTTGATAAGATAATGGATAAATAAAGATAATAATTTTATTATTAATCAGTTTAAAAATACAAAATTTTCATATTTTTAAATTAAAAAGTAAATTTCTTTTTTTTTTCAAATGATAATATAAAATTTTACAATCTTTTTTATTTTTTTTTAAAGATTTATTAGAGAATAATGATAACATAACAAATAATAATTTTAATCAGAAGAAGATAATATTTATGTATTTAAATTAAAAAAGTGAAAATTTACCATTATGTACTTCAAAAATCAAGAAAATTTTAGGTAATGTCGTGAGATACTCAAATGTAATATTTATGTACAGGTAGAGTTAATTGATAGTAGAAGGACGACATGAAGCCAATCCATAGTAGAAGGTTTAGAATGCACTATTTTGGATAGTAGAGGGATGATAGATGGCCTTAACCCCACAATTAACTGAAGATGCCTTGAAGAGAGTGAAGACGTACGGAAATAGCCAGTGGCTCGGAGTTGAGGAAGAAAGGAAGGGTGGGAAAATGGCAAAAACCCTACTTAAGACCCCAAACTTACTAAAAAATAACATTTAAGCCCTAAAACTAAAAACAAAGTAAATAAACCCTCCAATTCTACTAATGATGCAAATAAACCCTTCTCACAAATGAACAATATATATTATAGAACATTTTGTCTCTACTTCAAAAACCTTTTTTCTTTTTCGTTTTATAAAACCTTAAGTTATTTTTTTTTCAACATGGAAAATTTTGAGAAAATAGTGAGTTTACAAGTAATTGGTGGGAGTTGAACTCCCAATCACTTAAACCCAAACTCTTAAATTTAATGGTGAACCATTTGATCCATTGAATTTGGTCAAAAAAATATGAAAGAGAATGTAGCATTGCTAAATACTCATGTTATAGAAAAAATAATGACAATAATGAAGCCTCTCCCTCATAAAATAATAACAAAGGCCACAAACCATAATACGTGGAGATATGAAAACAAAGATATGAGAAGAATGACACAACAATGAAAATAATTGGATTCTCTAGTACGTATTTTTACTAATTAACGACGTACCTAATAAACAGCCTTGGCTTCTCTCTTTTCATCTCCTCTCACATCACTTCCCCTATGTATTAATTAAACCTCTTCCATCCTTTTGCTTCTCATCACCTCGATTTCCACTCTTTTCTCACCAACCAAGCAACAATAGCTGTTGCATTAATGCCTCTAGAACCTTTGTTCTTCAATGCTTTGGTTACTAATCAGTTTGAATCCAACAATATACTGTCAAAATTCATATGGTACACAAATGGACCAAACGATATTTTAAGTTTAATATCACCTTGAAAGCATGAATATTCATGCACCAGAATAGTTTATTTGTATTATTAATGGAATTGAAGGGGTTTATATATTTTTTAAAAATTTAAAAGCTTAAAGATTATTTTAAAAAGATTTTAAGAATTTAAGAAGGATTTTTGCCTGAAAAAATTAAAAAAAGTGGAGGGAACTGGTACATGATAAAGTTTTAAAGATGTGGTTTTGATTTGTTAAACGTGGATGAGTTCAGAACTGAACACGTGGTAGAAACATGATCCACATAAGATCCAAATCTAGTGTACTCTAGTCTAGTCCAAAAAGAGTCTTTGTGCGTTTTACCAATGAGATTAACTGACATCATTACATCTAAATGACTTAATTTACCTCGTCCTTTTACCTGAAGTGATGAGTGATGATCAACGCCAGGAATTAATATGGTTGTTAATTTTAAATTTGGTTAGAATTAGACCTGGTAAAAATACATTTGATTCTAATTCGACCCGTAAAATTGAGTTAGGGTCTACATATTTTAACCCATAATCCATAGATAACTTGTATTATCAATTTATATAGGTCACGGGTCG